TCTGTCAGATTCTGTCGATCATCTACTGTGTACTGTTTGCTGTGTATAAAGTGTGACAAAGCTGCATCCACAAGAAATTTGGCAGGAGGGAGAGAAGAGCTCTCACGAGAGCTCGTCGGCGGGCACTCCTGAAGCAACCGTTGAAACTGCAGACAAGACACCCAACCAATGGGTGCAGCAGTTCCTTTCGAAGATGTTGGGCGTGTTGCCGCCTCAGAATGCGACACGTCTACGTGACCTTGTCTTCTCCGTGAAGAACGGAAAGGGCAGTGTCAAGCTGCTCACCCTGTGCTCCGGCACCGATGCTGTGGTGGATGTGATCCAGGCAGAAGGGTTTCAAATCTATTTCAAGTCGGCAGTGCGCCAAATTTCTTTGTTTTTTGAGATTGTGGCTTGACTTGACCCTCGACGAGATATTCTATTTCAAAACTTCAAGTACAGTAGTATTGCCATAGGCTATAGGTGTTCCGGTTTCTCGAAATATTCAAGCATCTCTGATCTCAATATGCGTGCGATTTCTGATAAGGTCCTCGCACCCCCTGTGCGATCCAACTTCTGAGGCCAAAGGCTAGAGGTTCCTGGACTTGCAGTATCTTTCGAGGTTGCCGTCTGAGTCATTGGTTCAAGTTCAAGTTCTTGTGAATCTGAAGACTTGTTTCAAGATCCACAAAACATGCCAGCAGGACATCTTCAAGGCTGCCAGCTATGACCTGTTGCTACAGCCTCCCAACACAGCCTTGGAGACGGTAGTGGACCATCGGCTCAGTTGCGACAACTGTGCAGCAACAGAACAATGGATCAGGTCAACCAGCCGCCCAGCCGTGTACGTGAAAGACATCGCAGAGATGGATAGCCCAGTTATCCAGGACGTGATCACCGGGAACTGCGTGATGCGGCCCACGGTGACCTCCGCATTTTGCGGCTGGGTTTGCCACATGTCGCTCGGGGCTTAGTTTTTCAATAAAAATAATTTGAAATAATATTAGAAATTGACAAATTGAAATTGAAATGAAAGCCCCTGGGTCTTCTTGCCTTTGCAAATGTGGAGCCCTTGTGCACGAATGCCGAATGCGTCATTAAGTCTGCTGTATTTACGTAACTTACGTAACTTATATATGTAAGTTATGTCCTGAAACCCAGAATCCCAGGGAGATATGACGTGACATGTGCTGCTGCAGCATCAGGGTTGCAAGTCGCAGCCCAGGTCCCGGCGGAACCCGCAGAGATCAACTACATGTGTGCGGGATGGCGAAGGCACCACAGGGCAGACTTTTCAGGCATTTGTGTCGTATCTGCAGAGTGCCAGACCAAAGCACTTCTTTGCGGAAATGGCTCCTTGCCTTCCTGAGTAGTAGAACGGGCCGGGCTTATACTGATTTGCTTTCGTTTCGATGTAGTCATACAGGGTCATACAGTACTGTTGCCAGTTACATACTCTGTATGTAGACAGTAGACATGATTTGCCTTCAATGTCCCATGTGCTCAGCTAAAGCTGTGTAGGATTCTGTGGGATTCTGTAGGATACTGGATTGTGATTGTGTGACCCATGGGCCATGGCCCATGACAGAGAATACTCTTTCATTGAATCACAGCTGAGCAAAGTAGTTCGAAACTTAAACTTAAACGACAGATTATAGTTTATATAATTATGTAATGAATTTTTGGCTTATAGGCTAATTATGGAATTATAGGTTCGTTTTGCTTGTAAATCAGTCGCGCGGCGAAGCCCGCTAAGCCGTTCAAACAAGACTGGTCCCCATACAGCCCATACAGTCGCTCACACACTCGAAAACTAGGTCACGGGCTCCATGGATGCGGAGAAGATCAGAGATGATCCAGATGATGATGACATTTTCCGTGATGCCTCCTCTAGCCACCATCGTTGTTTGGCCGCCTTCGAGAACATTGGTTACAACGTCGTCTTCAAAGTTGTCAACCCCAGACACTATGGATGGCCTCAATCGAGGCCTCGGATTTTCTACCAAGGTATCGATGGCCAAGCACTTGGGTCCAGAGCAGCCCGAGTCCAGATTGCAAAGCTTCTGGTGGTGTGGGATGCTCTGGATGGTGCCCATGCGGACGGTAATGGATTGACTGTGGGGCTGGACCAGCTGCTGTTCTCGGAGCAGCAGGTTCGGGATTCGAAAGCTTACGCAGAATTGGTTGCCGCAGCTCGGAGCACAAAGCGTTTGAAGCCTGCTGCTGCTCCATTGAAGTGGGAACAGCTGCACGAGAAACTCCGCGAGAAGCACGATGCCCGGGCCTGAAAGTGTGCGCCGGGAAGGTAGGGAGCCTGTTGCAGGGGGGCCTCAGGGGGGGGGGGGATGATCTGTGTGTCACTGTGTGTCCGTGACTGTCTGTATGTAGTGTGAGTGAATCAGTGAATCAATGATGCCGGCAATGCATGTTGAGATGACAGTACTGTCCTCAGTCTTTGCCTCGGTACATGAAGTCAGTGCCACACATGTGACATGACACGACGTGACTTTTGAGCAGCCCAGGTGTCGGGGGATGCAGTGGAACGCGAGATTGCAGCCTATGACAGCATGAACAATCCCTTCTGGGATGCCCTCCCCCCTCGTGAGAAGGATTTCATCGCGTTCATGGATGTCAAGAAACCTCTCCCTGTCAGAGGGCCAGAGGAAGTGATGGATGTGTGCCCGGGCCGAATTCAAACCGGCAGACCCAGAGAAGTCTTCCTAAATGGCCTTAAATCTGAATTAAAAATACCTGAAGAAATGCAACCCCAAAAACCTTGGCACCCTAACCTCGCTCTCAAAAAAAACACTTCAAACCCCTTCCTCGTCACATCCTGACTCGCCAGGAGCCAGAATTTGGACAGGGTGATGGTGAGGCATGGTTGTTTGCCTTGCTTGACGCCGTCGAGTCGTGTCTGGCTGCGGCGTCGACAGCGATGGCTGTTAGGCGACGAGGCCCTCATACAGCAAGGCATCGACATTGAGAAGCATGCAGAAACAGTTTCTGCGACGCCTGAAGCATTGAAACGCCGCCTAGCAGGAAATGCATTTTGTCACCAGCTGGTGGCTGCAGCGATGATTGCAGCTTTCTCCAGCCTTGAGATTAGTTGGCTGACAGGCTGACATGAATCGAACAACCGAGCAGGCCTTTTCGACTGAAGCAGTGCAGCGAGCGCAAGGTGCTGGTCCTATAAGCCTAGGTAGCCTAGCCTATAAGTTACCTATCGGTCCTGTTATTGTTATTGTGTTGTGTTGCCTGTTTGAGATGCTTGCTGCAAGCTGCTAGTTGGATGTCGAGGAGAAGAATTTTTGGTAGTTTTGTTCTGATCTGCTAAGTGCAGCCATGAAGATAGACAGCTGACTGCGTTGTGCAGACATGTGTTCATCGACTCCCGGCGGTCTTTCACCTGAAGTTTCCGGTGAGTGAGCAGCGAGCACAAAGTGAACAACCAACGCTTGTGACAGTGATGCATGTGCAGAGATGTGTGTGTAGGTGTGTGTGTGTGTGTGCTGTGTGTGCCTTTTCTAACTTCTATAAGCTACTGTATAATGTATACCGATACCGTATACGTATACCCTTATACACTGTATAATTCATAGCATGGGCTGTACGATGAACTATTAATGATTATGAACATTCGTTGTTCAGTGGCTCGGCTCTATACCAGATGATCTAGATGTACTGTATCGTATCTGGTGCAATGTGGCAACGACAACGACATTCGATCTTATGGAGTCTGAAATCGGAGTGTGTGCTTGCCTGTGTGTGTGTGTGTGTGTGAGACTCTTTGTGCTCCTCTGTATCGACAATCAGCAGCAATGCCAGCATCGCTGTGATACCGGCTGGATCTCTCGAGGTTTTGTCTCAGGGCGACGCTAGGAAAGACCAAAGCTTCTACTGTTGAGCTTCCCGGGCGAAATGGCTGAGCAAGAGACAGCCTGGCTTGTTTTGCAGTGCAGTTTCAAGTTTGGCATTAAGCGAAACAGAATCTGTGGTTTTTGGTCGCGATAGATCCGTCAAGGATTCGGTGACATGGACTGAAATTCAGTCCATGTCATGTGTCCGTGCAGTGCAACTTGCGATCTATAGCCTGAACCTTCGGAACCCTGTTGTAACACAGTGATATAAAACATATGTCACATGTCATATGAGTCATATGTCACTATGTCACATGTCAATGCCAATGCTGCGCTGCCAATGCTGCCAGTTTGTATATGCCAGCATTCCTGTCAACTGCATGTCGCAGCCAGGCCTGAGATTAATTTCGTCGACGAGGATGGCACAGCAGAGGAAGGTGCCCCCTGTTGTGCGGCGTGTTACGCCACCCCGCAAACACCGAGTGGCCTTGGCCCTGACAAGCCATTGCAGTTTGTGAACTCCGTGAAAGACTTTTGGTGCCACCTCACTCACCTGCTCATGTACGGAGAAGCCACATACAAGGACTGCTGCTGGCAAATATGTTCGTGGTTCATGACTTCATGACAGTGATGCTGTGAAAGGTTCTGATAAAATCTGGAAGGACCTCATCGAGAGGCTCAACAAGCAGCCGAGAGAGCGAGCTCTGTTTCTCGCGCGGAGGCCCCATGTCTTGGTCTTCGTACTTGTTGGAGAAGCCGTAACCGTAACCGTAACTTCGTAGTCCGGAGCCCTTTGTCGGGGAAGCTGCTCAGGTAGTCCAGCCTAGTCTAGTATGGACTTGGGGCTCGTATTCTATTCTGTTACATATCATATCGCATGTCACTGACTATGTTATGTTATAGCTCTTCTAGTGTAGTCTGCGTAACAGTCGGTATATATAGTTTGTTCTGAGTTCCGGCTACTCTGTTTGTAATTTCTTGTATCTGTACTGTATTTATGTATTACTCCTTTCTATTCTATTGAAGTCTGTCTAGTACAGTATAGTCCAGTATAGCCTATAGTCTAGAGTCTATAGTTCTTAGTCTATAGTCCATAGTCTATATTCTGCAGTATTGGGGTATATTCTGGGCAATTATGGGCTACGTTTATTCTTATGTTCTACTATGCACTTCTCTCATATGATTATTTTTCAGTATGGTATCATAGAGCCTCACATCTCGCAGGGCCCATGTCATCGAACTGGTGGAGCAGGGGAAGCTCAAGTTTCCGGACTGGTGGACGCCGTCCCCGACCTTGTGTCTTGCCATGCCTTTGAGTACAGCTCACTGCTGTGCAGTGCTGAGTGGTGTGAGCTGGGCTGTGTGACATGTTCAACTGTGCATGCCACGAGGCAAGTGGTGGTGGATCAGGAGGTGACTATGAAGCTCACACCGGCGGGCTTCATTCGGAATTACTCGAAGAAAGCCTACAAGGAGAAGTACGGCCGTGAAGGCACCGAAGATGGGCTTCAGCTCCAGGACGTCAAGCTTCCGGACGGTGAAACCTGCCAGTGCTTCAAGGCCTCTTGTCTAGCCAATCATCAGAGTCCTGTAGCTTCAGTGAAAACTTTGTGGGAAATCAAACCTTGGCACTGGAGATGAATTGAGTTGAAGTGTGCCAATCGCCAATCGCAACTGATGGCTTGTTGCTACCGTCGCTTGAGGTGTGGATGGGGCCCAAAGACGTTTGGGACGAGTCCATCTCGCAGGAGACGACTGTGAGGTTTCGTCGGATTTTGGACGATGGTCTTGTCCAGTCTCTCGCCTGGAATTGTTTCTGGGGTTCTTGCGAACTCTTGTTTCTTCCACATCAGACAAAGGGTTTTCTGGGCCAGGTAGGTATGGTACCGCGTACCAGTATGCCGTATGCCGCATGCCGTATGCCGCAAGCCGCAGAATGCCTTATGCCAGAGTGCAGAAGTGATCTTGTTCATGTGCCCCGAATGATAGGCCCCGGACACAGTAAGTTTGCGGTGTGCGCGATTTGTGCTCTTCGATCATCGGGAAAGAGAGAGAAAGAGAGAGAGAGGTCGGTCGACGGTTTACGGTTTATCGGCTTATAATATAGACCGGGATGTAAAAGGTTCCCCACTGCGGTGTTTAGGGCACCTTCCGTTTCCTTCCGTTTGTTCCTGTTGATCCTATTGTTGATCCTGTTGTTCTTGTTGTTGTTGCAGCTGTTGTTGTTATTCCGATTCCTTGTCATAGTCTGAGTGAGTCAGAGGAGTCAATATTTTCAATTGTTGTTTTCTGTGTGCTGCGTAGCATAGCCGCATAGCCTGTGTAGCCTAGCTGTTGAGAAGACACGGACACAGCCCAATGCTTGAAAACTGAAAGCCCGATTAATAATCTTTTGAAACTCTTGTTTTGTTGCTCATTCAGGATCACCCCGGACCAGCAGTCCAGCAGATACAAGCAGAGGGCCAAGCGAGCGATCTTGGATACTTATCCAATGGACTGCCCCTTGGAGAAGGCTCCTAGGATTCTGGAGCCAGACCGTGGCTCCATGGTCGCTCCGCTCCTTCGTGGTCCATCAAGTGTGCTGCCAGGGTTTGCTCCTTCCCAAGCAGCTGGGCCATCAAGTGGTGGCGGTGCTGGTGCTGTTGCTTCGGACAATCCGCCTGCGAGCGTGCGCATTGGACTTTCTGATGACGAGGATGATGAGGCTGAGATGCTGGGGATTCAAGGCGAGAAGAAGAAGCGCAAGAGTGATGCCAAAAAGGTCTCAGAGTCCGAGAAGCTTCTCAAGGAATTTGGCGACCTGGACACGGAATTCCGCAACCTTTTGGCGGAGTTGAGATCTTTCCCGCCAACCTTGCCGGACAAGTTCGGCTACAGCCTAGGCAAGGTGGACAGGGCCGCCACCAAGCTGCTTGGGAACCTGAAGAAGGCCAACGCCTTCGAGAGTCTCCCTTCCTTGAATACCATGATTGATCAGATTGCTTCGACGAGAGATCTCATCAAAGTCTCGGGCAACTTCTTTTCCGGAAAGTCAGGAATGAACAAGAAGCACGAAGAGCCCTTCTACAACCTGTTCAAGAAGGTCCAGGCAGCCCACCCACTGGTGATTGCATCCTTCAACCCCCTGCTGGAAACCCGTTTCATCGAGGTGGGCTACAGTCGTGACATGAAGAGCAGTGATTGGCCATCAGTTGCAGGCTATGTGGCCCTCCAGAAGCAGATCGAGGTGCATGGTGGAGACGAGGAGGCTGGCGAGAAGGGCTCAATCGCGTTGGCTGAGAAGCTCGTGTCCTACCTGGTTGAGGAGTTGCCCAAGTGCGAGGAGGCTGGCGGGGAGCCGGACCTTGTGTTGGACTACGTGAAGAAGAAATTCCTGGAGGCCACAGAGGAAATCCTGAACAAGAATCCGGGTGAGAAGGTTTCGGAGGCTTTCAATCGACTTCGTATGCTCATGCTCCTCAATTCGGACGGGGAAAGCACCATGGATGAGACGATGAAGTATGTTGAGGATTCATCGAAGCCTGTGGTGCGTGTGTTCCTCAGCGCCCAGTTCGGCAAGAAGTTCGTGGAGCTTGGACAGGAGGCAAATCATGGAATGCAGGCACGGGCAATGATCAACGTTTCCATCCACAGCTCCACGCAAGAGATTTTTGGGCTCGCGACCCTTGCGGAGTGGGAGGAGTCCCTATGAGTGAATGAATGGATTACTTTGTAGTTTTATACTTTCAAAATACTTTCTGGGATTAAAAGACCTGTGTATACTACTGTATACTACTGTATACTGTATACGGTATACGGTATACGACTTCTTTATGGGCTAGTCCTATCAGGCCTATCTCTATAGGCATAGGCGGCATAGGCATAGGCATAGGCATAAGGTTGAAAACATCCGGCTTTTGCGGCTTATGAGCTCAGCAGCTAAGGTACAAGCGCAGCCCCAACCAACACCACGCCGAGGCTCTGAACTCCTCGAGCTTCTTTGACAGCCTGGCGGGGATGTGTGCGAAGGTTGTCAGTCTGGTCAGCGAGCAGTCGGACGAATTCCTGCAGCAAACGAACACAGTCCAGATGTTGAGAGCGCCTTGCTTGATGGAGAATATTAGTCTGTTGCCGGCCTTAGGTATAACAGTTTAAGGATTTAAGGGCATAGCGGTGGGGCATAGTCATAGCTTTCCCTTTATCTGTATAAGTACAGCTAAGGTGTAATTATAATTATACTGTTGTATACTGGTAAAACTTGCAGGTAATCAGGTAATCCTTTTCCCTTTGACTATAACCCTATTCTATTCCCAAACCCCAAGTCCGAACCCTGATCCCGCCCAGCCGAAACCGGGAAGGTCTAGGTTTGCATCGTTTGCGTTTGCATCTTTGAATTGCCCCGAATTACACAATTCTTTCGTGAAGTGAGGATTTGACCGCTTTGTTGGGGGAAGCGGTGAGTACGATCCTGGCCTCCTTCCGGGAGAAGATGGCTACTTGCTGCGTCGCCATCCTCAGCGACCATCCTTTGGACATTATGCAGGAATGCTGGGTGTTTCCGATGGGCCCCGACTTCGTGATGTTCGGCAAGCTTCACACCAGCGGCTACGAGAAGCTGCAGCGACTTTGCTGTCGATGCCAGGGCGTCAAGTTTCCGAGCAACGACCTGCACGCCATAACTTCCTTTGTGGCTCTGCTTGGAACATGATATGTGCTGCATTCTGTGTGTTATTCAAAAACAAGCCAGTAAACAATCCTAAGTAGTGCATGGGGCCACCCAGCAGTCAAGTGACCTTTGGCATCCCAAATTACACACTGTGCATTACTGGCATCTAGGCGAAATTCTTGTCGTGTTTTAGTCGTGAGAGCCATGGGCCATAGCCATAGCATATTTCATATAGATATATGTGATAATATCTGTATTACATATGATATATTCATACACGCAAACTACACTAGACACATAACTCACATAACTTCACATAACATAAACGAATCATACACTAGACCCGATTCTACTGGCTATGTGACTATGTGACCTGTACCAACGTAACATACCGACTTTTCAATAATTTGTACTCTATATCTTTATGAGATTCTGTATGATATGATTGCTGATAGGGTATCATGGCGTAGCATTGTTGAGAGGCCTGGATGTGGGTCTTGCATCGAAAGCTGGGTCATCTGTCTAACAGGCTCGCAACAGTGTAGTCTGTATAGCAGAGTACAGATGTGTGAGTTTGGATGCTTGGGCCAAAGATTTTGTTGACATTAGGCTGAGGTTTGAGGCAGCCAACAAGTAGTTTAATTCAAAAGAGCTCGAGATTATACTATACTACACCGTAGGTGACCGTGTGTGATGTGTCATATTCTCCTGAACGGTTACCTTGGATGTATGCCTCCAACATGAGTTCGTTCACCGTTGGAGGCCAACTTGCTCCACGGTTTGCATGACGTCTTGGAGCCCACCAATGCCCAGGACCAGACTTTCGTCGCTTGGCAAGAGGGTGTGCCGGACTTTGTGGTGCAAGCCACGAGCGAGAAGACGCGAGCAATTGGCCTGGCCTTCCAGAAGTTCTGTGAGAAGGTGGATGCCATGCCGAGTCGAAGCTTCCAGGGACTGGATGGCATGCCAAAAAATGCCGATGATGTTGTCCGCAAGTGCAAGGACGTTCAAAAGTCCCTTCTCCCCGAGATCTTCACCGCCATGACGGAGCACTTCCACTCCGTGAACTTGGAGATGCAGGACTGGTTCGTCGAGGCCGTGCGCCCGGGTGCTGTGATCCCGGAGGCCCAGGTCGACAAGCGTGAAGTTCTCAACAAGGCCGCCACCTTCGACCTCCCGAGCGAGGAGTTCAGCTGCTTGTCAGGGATGTCCGAGACCCTGAAGCGCAGCAAGATCGACGTGGAGGCATCCACAAAGGGCTGTGCCCAGGCCTTTGCGAGAACCACGGTGCTGGTGTATGCGTGCAGCTTCAGGTATGCTTGCATGACCAAGAACTGGCAAGACGAGAATAAGCCGACGCACGACGAAATCGCGGATTTTATCGAGGTCTTTGAGAAGGACCTCCATCAGATCGTGAACGGCCTCCTCCAGTTCCAGAAAACGGCCAGCTCTGAGGACGCTTCGATGCTGATCAAGCAGGTGGAGAGCATCGTGATCCCAACCGTGACCATGATCCTGAAGCACCACGAGAGCCTGATGAATGAGTCCATCAATGCTTTGCCTTCGCAGTACGAGGTGTGGCTCTCCAACAGGAGCATTCAGAAGATCAAGAGTGCGATGTTGAACCGAGAGAAACACTCCCAGATTTGCGGCAAATTGGACTCCCTCGCCAGGGTGTCAGGTGTGCTCCAGAAAAGCCTTGACAGCTTGTCTGCCTTCGGGGTGTGTCCCCAAACGGACTTGTCCCGCTTCCGCACCACGCTGCAGAACCTGAAGTCCTTGAAGACGTACAGCGCAACAGTGCACGGAGTGAACTTGGTCTTGTTTCGCTTGCCCAAGGAGAGTCAAAACCGGAACAAGGCTGCTTTGGTGAGAGAGTAGCTCGGCTTTCACTCAGTGCGCTCAGAAAGAACCACTTCGATCACCTCAACACCGCGACCAGCACCACCAACCTGCCAGGCTGCCACTTAACCACCAGACAACCACCACAACCACTGCCGACTGCCGACCACACCGCCGCCACCACCCACAACCACCGTACCCGCAAGCCACCACAGTGCTGCCACTGCCGCCCAGGAGACTCATCATCGATATCATGATATCATCATTCATAATCAGTCCGAGGGTTGGCTGCAAACCGTTACCAGTAAGTTAGCATCAGTGAATTGTCATCGTTGATGACAAGTGTCCAGTCATCATTCATCATTCATCGACATCATCGTCATTAATCATCAAATCATCTCCCTCATCACTGCTGCCTCCTCCTCCTCATCATCATTGAATCATCATCATCAATCATCACCGTCCATGCCAGCTCTGGCAGCACTTTTATCGCCGATAGCACAGTTCAAGCTGTGGGTTTTGCCTGGTTTTCCACAGGTAGCCTAAAACCCCTAAGCCTAAACCTCCTAAACTCTGGCCTAAGCCTAAACCGCCTACACCCTTGAAACCCAAAACTGAAACCCTCAAGCCTAAAGCCCTAAAACTCCAAGCCCTAGCCTCGCCTGGATTGTCCGAGTGTGAGCGCCGAAAAACCTAACCCAATCATTACTCCATGGACTCTATGAGTATGTATGATTCTATGACTATGATATGTCTACGAGTTACATTAATTATCTTAACCTACTGTTATTGTAAGACGTTAAGGCTGTTAGGGTTTTGAATTTTCCGCATTATCCGAATGCAATGGGTCATTTCCTCATCCTGAGGTATCGGAAGGGCCTGGATCGCAATGGACAAGCGGTGCCCAAGCCTCTGCTTACTTGGCTGACCGAAGCAAGTCAGGATGCAGCAGCGAAGTGAGCTGCGGCCCACGGCTGCGGTTTTGAGATTTTGATATCGGCGGCCTAATCTGCCTAATCTGATCGTTCAGTCCCTGAAACAATTAGGAGCGATAGTAGAGCCGTAGGCCGTAGGTTGGCAGGAATAAACCATTCGGGCACCCTTAGACAGTCGACTACAGCTGTCACATCATCGCAGAATTGTTGCAAACCTCAGACATGTGACGTGTGACATTCTGAATCATTCTGTCATTCTGTTAGACTCTGTTGCTTAGATTATAGTCTTATAGCCATAGTGAGTCATAGTCTGAGTCATAGTCATAGTCATAGTCATAGTCTAGTCATAGTTACGGTGGTTGGCTGTAGCCAGGTTTTGGTTCGACTGAATTAGCGATGTGTGAGTCCCTAAATCCTTGAAGCCGGAATCCTTACTACTCCTTGCAATCTGTAGGCCTGTAGCTTTGGTAGTCGTAGTCGTGTAGGGCCGAACTTCCGAACAGTTTGTCCTGCCAGGCTGTTGGCGCTTCGGTTGGAGTGATACCCTAAGTGTTTTAAACCCTGCCTAAACCCTACAATACCTAAAACTAAAACCCTTAACCTACACGCCTAGCCCCAAAACACCGAAAACCTTAAATGCTCTAGCCTATAGCCTTTTGCCTATAGCCTAAAACCTCCCACCTAACGCCTAAAACCAAATGATACCGTTTATGAAGTTTCTTCTGAAGGCAAGGTAGTGAGGTATCTTCCGCCATATAACAACTGACGGCTGAAGGATCCTTCCGCACAGTGCCAAGTCGAGTGAATCGGCTGTGACCAGCAACTGGCTGCCTTTTGCAGCGATTCAAGGCAGGCTTCAGCCTTCGCAGGTCCGAATGGCCCACAGGATCTCATAAGTTATGCAGTTGTCAATTATGGGAGTCGAAGGCTAGAGCTAGCCTGGTTTTGACGCCTCCGTTGCCAAACTCGAAAGAATCTGCAGTGACCGGCAGTGGGCTGTGTGAATGCAGCGCCTCTTTGCAGGCTTCATGCTGATTCACTGATTCACTGATTCATGCTGTCTTCACCGTCTTCACCATTGTTCTAGTTCTAGTGTCAGGCTTAAATGGCCCACGGGGCGGCCCACACGATGTCATACGTTCTGCCGCGCCTTAGGTATGCCGCATGCCTCATGCCCTTAGACTAAGCCGGCTTAAACCCAAAGCTCCTAAGCTCCAGAATCCCATGCTTTAAGCCTTTTAACTTAAACCCCATAGTGCGAAACTTCAAAGCCTGCAGAGCGAGCCTGAACTCCACCCCTCCGGTGCCAACTCCGGAGAATCGGCTGTGACTAGCAGCAGGCTGCCCACATGCAGCGCTTCGAGCCAGACTTCAGGCTTCGCAGGGCCAAATGGCCCTCAGGATTTCACAGGTTAAGTTATGTTATGCCACGGCGGAAGTGTCGAAGCCTGGAGCTAGCTTGGTGTCGACATAGCATCAGGCCCGGATGACCAATATCTCATAAGTTATGCCATACGGAGCATAACTCTGCATAACCGAAGTCTAGAAGTTTGCTGGTGCTAGCTTGGTCTCGACTCCGGTGCCTAACTCGAGAAAACCGGCCTTGACTGGCAGCGAGCTGCCGACATGCAGCGACTCCGCACAGGCTTCAGGCTGGGCTTCAGGCTTCGGTGTAGCGGTAGGCGCACAAGATCCCACAAGTTACAAGTTATGCCCTACGGAGCATAGCACGAACTGCCGAAGCCTGCAGAGCTAGCCTGAGCTCGCACCTCTGGTGCCAATCTCGGGATCTGCCTTGACTAGCAGCGGGCTGCCCACTGCGCACAAAAAAGATTTGCCGGCTAGTGCTGTTGGCGTCGGACACACGTGCATAGCTGCACATGTCATGTCACATGCTGTCACATGCTGCAGCTTAGCTGAGCCAGCTAGAGAGGGGGAGGGAGAGGAACAGAGAGAGAGAGGCCCAGAGAGGAGAGAACTGAGAGAACGACAACGAAACAAAGAGGCAGGGAGTACCCAGAAGGATATGCTGATACCGATGCCGATGTCGCCGATGCCCATGCCGATAATTATGTCGTCGGTACTGTGGTCGATGCTGTCACTGTCGCCGATGCTCTTGAATGCTTGCCTGGGTTTAGGGGCTGTGCTCAGTCGCTCTCCCTCCCTACTTGCCTCCCTCCTCCTACCTCCATCTCCGCCCTCCCCACCCAGAATCGCCCCATCCCCTGGGTCCACATCCCTGCATCCACCCAGGCCACCCCTGGCTGCACATGTTGAGACGCAACAGAGGGAGTCGAACGAAATGTTTCGGCCGAGGGTTGCAGTCCAGTGACTAATTGGAAACGAAAATTGCTTCTGGGCTGTGCGTTCGGCAGATGTTGACTTTACCGAAAGTGGAAGCATGGTTTCGGGGCTTGTTTTGTCGAAGATTTAGGTTTCACACTCAAGGCTCCTGGCTGTTCATTTTTCAAATTGGGAAAACCGGTGAACCCACCAGATTTTCTTGTGCTTTTCGTTGTGGTTCAGATTGTGGTCACTGTTAGTGGGCGGGGGCAGATGCCAAGGTATACGGTATTTCAAAAACATGATTTTGGCAGTTATCTAGGACGCTACAATCCGTCGGCCTGAAGCAGCAATCTGTGCTCAACACCACATGCCGTGGTAATAGAAGTAGCAATGAAGCTGTGCACTAGGACAATTGGCCTGCTGAGCCATCTTACGATCGCTGCTTGTTTTAAACTGGCTGTGAACTCTTCCAGGGCTTTCCCTGAATGCGAGGGTAAGCTCCTGTCCGAGACTTATGGGGAACACGATGGGCACTGCCAGTCGCTGAGTGGCAATTCCTCAGCCGCAGAAGCGACATGCAAGCAAAGCTACGATATTGATGCTGCCGGATTTCACTGGCAGTGTGTCGTTGCGTTGAAGTCTTCTGGCAGCTTCACCTGCCAGCACTCGCATCTGTGCCAACGCGTGGAGAACCCGGCCGCAGTGTGGGATTCGCTTCCAGCCCTCGGTGCCGACGTCAAGCCCGAGATGACGCTGGTGGACTTCGAGAAGACGGCCAACAGACACCCTCACCTTGCACGCCTCACCGGCAACAAATTCTTGGTTTGGGCGCGCAATAACATTGGGGGAAAAGGGATGCAATGCCAGGCAGTGGAGGATGTTGTGGGTGGCATCCTGACTGGTGATCGACTCGACATTCCAAGCGGCACGCAGCACGGCGCCCAAATTTCAGAGAACAAGGTCGCCATCTGCCGCCATGCAGGTTCCTTTACCCCTTTACTGCTCTTAGGAACATGTTTTGTTTTATAACAATAAAGCATAAGTTAAGGGGATTAAGAAAACGACTGTTTTTTCTGGTTCAATGTGCGGCTAAGGTTCGATTCTGAGGTGCTACACGGTGACGGCAAATGCTCGCAGCCTTACAAAAACCAACGAGCAGGATATGCCGAATCGGCTCAGCCCCATGGAGTACCTTAGATCCCCAATACCTAAACTTTTGGGTTCTTATAGTTTAGTAGGAGCCGGAGAGTTGAACCTTGTCTTTCTGTGGCTTATTGGGGTTGTCAGGTACACCTACATGCCGACCCTGTTGTACCTTGAGGAGCACAAGGTCCTTTTGTGTGCGAATGAGAATGTTGAAAGGAAGGTGACGCACCACCTGACTTGTTGGGTGATGACAGATAAGGAGGGCACTCTGGAGAGGGGACCCAGCAACACTTTGGTCCACAGTTTCCAGGTGCGAGTTTCCGAGAATAGGGTACCCTAATACAGTACGCTAAATAATGAGTTTACTCCTTTAAACTTCCCGAAGCAGAAAGGATGAACTCCTTATTCAGTTTTGCACAAATTTCATGTTTGTTTTAAACTGAAATTAGGAATCACGTTTGCCAGTTTTCCGGGCAGTGAGATGAAGTGTGGCTCCGGCGACTTTCCTCTCAAGTGTGGGCACGGGGAAAACTTGTCGGGCTAGGGATGGCCGCGCGCCGTCGCGAGCTGCCTCCGGTGCCACATCGGCGCCTTCTTCTCTTGTTTCTCGAGGAGGAAGAAGAGGTCCGGGACTGGCGCAGTGAGATTCGAGGGCTGGACCTTGAAAATTTG